ATACTGAAGTCTGAAGCAGTTATTTGCAAAGGAAGCATGCTACGTTTTAATGATCCCTGTATCTTTTCTTTGGAACAGAATGTAGCATTCAATGCTATTTGCCCTTTTGTAGGAGCAAAGGCATGATGTGAAAACCTCAGTTCTCACATCACCCAACTCTGAAAAGATCACAAAATCTAACTCTGTTGCTAGACTTTCCTGCACCAATCATAGGTTGGCTGTCTGTGCCACATGTGCAGTTAAATTATAGAAGCTGATATAAAAGATTTGCAAAAAGGTTTCTTTTTTAGATTTAGTATTTTTTTGTATTGCAAAAAATTGTGTCCTTGTGTCATTACCATTTTCCAAGAAGATGTTCTATGCTTACAAAGGTCCTATTTCTTGTTTCTCGTTATTTCATTTCTCTGTCTCTCACAATTTGACGTTTTCAGTGGTTGGGTCCTGAAACTTCTGATTCCCCAGGAAATCTGGCAGATTGAATTCTGTGATTTAAGGGTACCATCTAGGATGTGTGATTGCTGTGTCTGAGTATTGTCAAATAACTTCACAAATTGTGTTCACCTGATTATATGAACCACTGCCGCCCCCCCCCCCCAAGATTTTATTCAATTTGAGCAAATTGCTTCGACTCTGTTTCTTTTATCCCATTTTTGCTTCTTGTCTTCACTCTTAACCACTGCTGGCTTGTGCCTAACTTATACCTGTGACTAATACGGTGCTGAAATCTCTCCTCTAATTCCCCATTATTTTCCTCTTCTGCAAAAGAAGATTCTGTTTTTATTACCTCATTCTCAGGGTAGAATGAACTTGTGGTTGGTTACTGAAGGCAGACTGCTATTTTCTGTTCCTCATTTGCCTGCCAAGCTGCAGATTCCCAGGATGCCCTGGCTTCCTGGTGTGAAAAAACACCGTAGAGGTGTTTCCTTGTGAGACCGTCCATCTGGATTTAACTGAAGTGTGGGAAATCGCTAAAGCTGCAGATCATTGGGGAAAAAATACCATACAATGGAAAAAAAGAACCTTTCATGATCTCATAACTATATTGTGCAAAAATTTCACACCTTCCCACCTCCTCCCTATTTTTCCCCATCACACTAAATAAAACAATACTAATCTGATCTTTCATTGTCAGGTGGTTGGCCTTTTAACTGCTTCTGGCTCTGCATTCTCCTCTGTGCTTCAACTCATGGTTTTGTCTTCTGCAAAAATTAACTTTACCTGTTTTGCACCATATTCCTTTCTGTGTTCTAAAAGCCAGAAACAGATGCCTGCTGACGGCTTCATCTCATTCTGTTAAATGAAAGTTAGCATAAGAGTAATTTCCCATGCCATTAGGAAGACATATAGATCAAGAAAACTGAAAGTCTCTGTCAACTTCCTAACTGTCTAGAAACTTACATGATGGATGGCGGGGGGTGGGGGGGAAGGGGAATCAAGTTAACAGATGGTAGATTGAACTGAAAAGGGAAACAACAGGAGAGAGGGGAAGGAGTAGAGAGAGAGGAAGGGAAAAGAGAGGAGAGAAGAGGAGAGGAGAAAGAAGAAAGGGAAAAGGAGAGGAAGAAGAGGGAGGGGAAAGGAGTAGAGGAGAAGGTTAGAAGGGGGGAAGAAGAGAGGAGTGGGGGAAGAGAAGGGGAAGTAGGAAAGAGAAGGAGAGGAAGAATGAAGGAAGTAGGAGGAGAAACAGGGGAAGAGTAGGGGAGGAGAAGAAGAAAGGTTGGAGTAAAGGAGAGCAGCCCCGAAAAAGTAAAAATGAAAGTTAAAAGAAAAGATGAATGAAAAATGATGGAAATGACTGTACATGTAAATGTGTTTTTGAAAAATAAAAATAAAAAACTTTATAAAAAAAAACCAGGATGGTAGAGATGGGAAGATGAAATTGTTACTCAATCCAGTGAGAAACATTCTTATTTCCTTTGTTTTGTGTGCGTGCTTTCAATGAAAATAATGGAAAGTGGCAAGAGTAAGATGAATTGAAGTTCCAATAGCAACCTGATTTCCACATTTTGAGGAATTAATACTCTCAGACCGTGATGACAAAAAGTGACACATACATGTAGTCCCTGGCTTACAACAGTTCACTTAGTTTGAAATTATAAAGTCACTGAAAAAAGTGATTTATGATCCTTTTCCCACACTTACGAACATTGCACCACCTCCCATGGTCATGTGATCAAAATTCAGATGCTTGGCAATGGACTCATATTTGTGACGGTCGCAGTGTCCCGTGGGTCATGTGATCCCCTTTTGCTACCTACAAGCAAAGTCAATGGGGAAACCAGATTCAATTAACAACCATGTCACTAACTTATCAGCTGCAGTGATTCACTTAACAAATGTGACAAGAAAAGTTGTAAAATGGTGCAAAACTCACTTAACAAATGTTTCACTTAGCAACATAAATTTCAGGTTAATTGTAGTTGTAAATTGAGGACTACCTGTATTCCTTGTTCCTCTCTGTCAGGTGCAACAGAGACACACAAACATACGTGTTACTATTTGTATGTATGAACCTATAGTAGTAATAAGGGATGTGGTGGCTCAGTGGCTAAGACGCTGAGCTTGTCGATCGAAAGGTTGGCAGTTCAGCGGTTCGAATCCCTAGTGCCGCGTAATAGGGTGAGCTCCTGTTACTTGTCCCATCTTCTGCCAACCTAGCAGTTCGAAAACATGTAAAAAATGCAAGTAGAAAAAATAGGGACCACCTTTGGTGGGAAGGTAACAGCGTTCCGTGCGCCTTTGGCCTTTAGTCATGATGGCCACATGACCACAGAGACGTCTTTGGACAGCGCTGGCTCTTCGGCTTTGAAACGGAGATGAGCACCACCCCCTAAAGTATGGAACAACTAGTACATATGTGTGAGGGGAACCTTTACCTTATAGTAGCTAACTTAATTAGAAACGTGTCATTGTTAAATAGGATCTCTCTATCCCATCTCTGATTCGATCAGCAACCTCAACCCAGCAGTTTGCTGATGAAAGTTGCTGCATTTAAGATTGGAAAAGAAAATGGTAGCAAATAATAAATCTGTTATTTTTCAAGACACACCTGAAAAAAAAAAAAAAAGAACTCAGGAAGCGGCTTTGCAGATTTTCTAATTGACAGAGTGGAAATCTGCCCAAACCATGAAAACAAAATAGTGATTACCCTACTTTCCAGACGATGGAAAGAGACATCTTAGATATTTCATGTTGACGTTGCTGAGATAATTTTATATGTTTGGAAGGTCATAAAGGAAATAATTGCTATTAGGCTGGTCTGGAACTTAAAAGAAGTGTTTTTGGAGTATTAAAGGGACACGAGGCTTTACTTTTTGAAACCAGAAAGAGGCCTAAATGGAGAAATATTTAATTTTTAGAAATGAATCTCCTTTAAAAGCAGTGACAGCTGAACCCTTTTTATATACTTTACATTATTAAATGCTCTGGTAGAATAAGCCAAGCCAAGCCAAATGGTTTGTGTGAAGGCCACACTCAGATTCCTATTCATTTGATGAAAGCATTGCTATCCTTTTGCAACTAATGAAAATAAAATATTCATTATATTCAAGGTTACCTAGCGTAGCCATTTTGACCACTTATGCATTCTTAAGAGAAAATGTGACATTAAAAAAAAGGGGGCAGACGGATGGACAAATGAGGATAGAGCTTTGCATAGCACTCATGTATGTGTAGGTGCATTTGTTTCTTCTGTATAATTTTGGCAAGAATACCAAAAAATGTATGAGATTTCACTCCTTCTCAGATCTACCTAGGATTGTTGTGGGGAAAAAGGAGAAGAGGAAGTTATCTTGAGTCTGGAATAAAAGGTGGGATACAAATAAAAGTTTGATTGATTTTAAAAATCGGGGGAGAGGCACTCACGACTTTGCATGCTCTTTCTCCTGCACAATATCAGGCACATATTTCATCATAAATGAGCAGTGGTACTTTCCCAAATTACCTGGAGTACATCAGGGATGAAATCCAGCAGGTTCTGACAGGTTCTGGAGAACCGGTAGCGGAAATTTTGAGCAGTTTGGAGAACCGGCAGCGGAAATTTTGAGTAGTTCGGAGAACCAGCAAATACCACCTCTGGCTGGCCCCAGAGTGGGGAGGGAATGGGGATTTTGCAGTATCCTTTCCCTGCCATGCCCACCAAGCCATGACCACAGAACAGGTAGTAAAAAAATTTGGATTTCACCACTGGAGTACATGTATCATTAGGCTCATCCAGAAATATAATTCTGTTTGCTTTCGTATTGAGTTGCTCTGTTTTTTTGTTTTTGTTTTGCTGGGCATATAGTAGGTATATAGTAGTCTGGATTTGCTTGATTTTGCAACATGGTGATGTCAAAAGGATCAGGAATAGACTTTCTGGGGGCCAAGGGAATGCACTGCTGGATGCTGGCATAAGGCTTGAGTTGGGCTACCTGTAGCTTCCTGGCACTGTCATTCAACACTGTGTGCTCTTAACTCCATGCTTTCAGATGGAATGAAAAGGAGCTTCAACCTAGTAACTTCTTCTCCAACATAGAACTTGATAGGGTTCTGGAGACTGAAGGCATGCCAACCTTTCAAGGTAGTCCAGAGAAGAAACCAAAACCATGACTACTAACACTACCTTTATTTAAGGTTATCATAACAAAATATTGCAAGTCTAAACACCTTTTTCCTCTTTCTTGCCTTTACTTTCCAGAGTACTTGGAAAATGCTTTCTCCACTCCCATTCCTTCTGTGGACCGAGATGTCTCTTATCTGACTGTTACCCTAGGTGCAGCTGTTCCTTCTCCCATTCCTCAAGAATATTCCCACAGTTGTAGCCAGTCCTTCTCGAAACAAGTCAAATCAGCTTTGGCTCTTAACATGTCATCTTGCAGATTCCAATGGCCAGCATCAGCCTTATGTCTACAAGCTTCTGAAAGTTGGTTAGACAAAATATCGACTGTGCTACTTGACATCTGTGCGTTGAAAGCGGCATCGTCATTTATGGTTTGTTTGTTTTTTGTTCTGAAAATTAGATGTTTGTTGCTGAAGAAAATGTGGATTTTCGGATACATGTGGAAAATCAGACACGAGCAAGAGACGATGTCAGCAGGAAGCAGCTCAGGCTTTATCAGCTCTACAGCCGAACCAGTGGGAAGCATATCCAGGTGCTGGGAAGGCGGATCAGTGCCAAAGGAGAAGATGGAGACAAATATGGTAAGAGAATTTACAGTACTTCCATCTGCTATTCTTGGGTGTGCCTAAAGCATGGAGCTTCTCTGATTGGTCAAACTTGAATAAAATAAGCCAAGACAATGGACATACAGTGATCCAGTACCAAAATGAGAGGACCATTAGATTGTTAAATATGAGGCAAATTACAAAAATAAAAGAAAATGATTTTGCCTTGTTCGTTGCTTAAATGGTCTAGGTAATTCCAATAATTGTTAGTATACTTTTCACTATATTTCTTAGGTTTTTTTTTTTTTACTGTAATTCCTTTCTGAAAAGAATTGTCTTTCCTTTTGTAAAAAAATTCCTCATGATAATACTATGGGGTAAATGATAGCAAATGAGAGGCTCGTTGATTGAAACTCCTCTGGGGAACTTTGTGGCTAACTTAAAAGGGGTTAAACAACGGATCATCTTTTGGAAAACCAGCATCTAATCTGGAAGTGCTTCTTCCATGACTGTTCTGAGTAGATTGTAGTACTTGTTTCAACCTGTCTAAATTTGGGATGAATGGGAAAATCACAACTTGCTGGTCATTATCTTTGAACTTCTCAGATTCTCTATTGGAACAGCATGTCCTCAAAACTTCTAACATAGAAAAATGGTATGGTAAAAGAAGTTCATAGTGGAAGTCCATCTATTATTCATGATTGGTTGTGGAAAAATGCAGGGAAAAAAGAGAGACCAGATTCATCCCTTTAGTTTCAGTGGGATAAGAGGTGGAGATGAATAAAATACAGTAATATTTATTTTGATGTCTTGCCAGGTCCATCCATTATGAATATATTTTCAACTCAGAAAATTAGAACTCAAAAAGGTTAACCTATCCTTCCTATTCTACAGGTAGTCCTTGACTTACAACTACAATTGAGGCTGGAATACTGGTTGTTAAGTTGTTGCAGTCATTAAACAGGTATATGACCTGGCTTGATTTTACAACCATTTGTATTATGGTTGTTAAGTGAGTCACCATGGTTGCTGCCATGGCGGAAAACGTCAAAAAAGTTTGCAAATTGTGATCATGAATTTTCAGGATGCTGCAACTGGCCATAAATACAAGCTGGTTACCAAGAGCCCAAAATTCAGTCATGTGACCACAGGGGTGTGTGTAGTCATAACTTTGAGGATGGAATAATAAGTAGCTTTTTTGCAATCTTTCACAACTTCAAATGGTTGTTAAGTGACTAATCATTAAAGGACCACCTGTATTGATTGCAAATTCCAGATAAGTGGACCAACTCCCAAGCTTGTTGCCCAGTGTCTTTCATTGCTCTCAGCTGAGTGATGTACATCAAGGCACTGAAGGAGTTTGGCTTGGTAAAAGAGGCACCTCTGGAATGGTACCATAACGTTCTAGACTGCACACAAAGCCACTTCTCTGCTGCATGATAATTACTATGGTATCACGGATGTAAGATAGATTTGGGACCCAACTATATTTTGCGTTATACAAATTTTGTCTTATACATATGTGTATATAGTAGGGGTGTGGGCAATACTTTGCTTTACATATATTTTGTGTTATATAGGTAGTCCTTGACTTACAACAGTTCATTTAGTGACCACTCCAAGTTACAACGGCACTGAAAAATGGGACTTATGACTGTTTTTCCCAGTTACGACCTTTGCAGCATCTCTGTGATCATGTGATCAAAATTTGGATGCTCGGCAACCGACTCCTATTTGTGACCGTTGCTGTGTCCCAAGGTTGTGTGATCACTTTTTATGACCTTCTTCTAAGCAAAGTCAATGGGGAAGCCAGATTCACTTAACAACCGAGTTACTAACTTATCAACTGCAGGGATTCACTTAACAACGGAGGCAGGAAAAGTCGTAAAATGGGGCAAAACCCACTTAACAAATGTTTCACTTAGCAACAGAGATTTTGGGCTCAATTGTGGACGTAAGTCGAGGACTACCTATACATATGTGTATATGGCAGGGGTGGACAAGCTGCATCCCTATGCCCTTGTTTTATAGTCCAGTGTCCTGAGCCCATAAGATTATATAGTTGAAATATGGTAGCATACTGCTGGTATAAGGTACTACTATTTTAGTTTTAAAAGACAAGAAGATATACGGGGTCCATATTGAACCCGCTCGGTCATTTTCAAACCCATTGGCTGCATTGGTACAGCATATTAGACTTGGTTACCTTTTATCCTCAAGTTCAAGAGTTTTTCTGCGACTCTGCATTCTGTCAAAAGGGGTCTGAAAATTCTCTAGGTGATCCTGTAGCTCTCAGTGCTCAGGAAAATTTTTAGAAAATGTGGACTTGCTATGGAGCAGTTGCTCATTCTTAGTCTTTGGAAGAATGAACAAATGAGAAAAGATTGAGGGTTTATGTTTGCTACTCTAACAAAACATTTATTTATTTATTTAGCATATGGCTTACAATATCAGGGAAATCTACACATACTGGACACAATAAAGTCCTGACAGCAGGGGTGAAATGTAAAATTTGTTACTACCAGTTCTGTGGGCATGGCTTGGTGGTGGTGGGGTAATGTGACCGGGTGGGTGTGGCCAACTTTTTTTTTAAAAAAACTTTTCAAAGCATTTTTTCTATTGCTTTGAAAAGCCTCTGCCGATCAGGCAACTCAGCTGGGATCGTCAGAGACTTTTAAAGGCATTTTTTTTTCCTACAACCTCTTCGGCCAAGAGGTTGCAGAAAAAAATGCTTTGAAAAGCCTCTGATGATCCCAGCTGAACCGCGCGATCATCAGAGGCTTTTTTTTTAACTTTTAAAAGCATGTTTTCGTCGGAAGAGGTTGTAGAAAAAATGCTTTTAAAAGTAAAAAAAAAAAGCCTCTGATGATCGCGTGGCTCAACTGGACATGGGGGGGGGCAGGGACTTTTGCTACCGGAACTGACATATTTCAAATATGGTGGGCTGAAGGAGTAAAACAGAGTGGAGGATTTATTAGACTGTGGTCCTTTACACTGAAAAAAAAAATAAAGTACTTGTTCTGACCCAACCTTAACAGAAGCAAGAAACAGACTCCTTGTCATGAAAACCCCTCTTTATTTACCTCTTGTGAATTAATTGCATTCACCCACCAAAAAGTCCAGGCAATAGCCCTTCAAGGAATTAACTGCAGTAACAGACCTTATCAGTTTCTTGCGATAATTGCAAGGCTGTGAACTCCCAGCTGAAAGGCTGCAAATTAAGTTCTGGCAAGCAGTCTGGCAAGCACAAAACACAATGAGCAAAATCTTCAGAAATAAGAACTGTTGTCTCCTACGACAACCACTCTCCTTTCCTTCTATTTATTCCCCAGCCAGGGAGGAGCCATTCAGCGTCTATGTGTGCTTTGCTTCCCGAGTCGACTCCTTGTCCTCTGTTGCTCACCTCTCCTCCATTGCTCACCTTTTCTAACTGCTCTGTGCATAGCTGCATCTGGAATGGGCCCCAGCTGTTCTTCCTCCTCTCCGGTGGCTGGGAAATGTCAGACGGCCCTGGTTCTATCTCTGCGTCCAACATAGAGCATCCATCAGAGCCTTTCCCAGACTCCAGCACTGGCCCAAGTTCCTCCCCAACCTCCTCATCGTCCAAGTCTGCCCCCAGCTCTGCTGGCAGCTGACAGGCCACAACAGTACTCATAACTTTTGTAAGAGTTTGATCTGTCTCATCAGTGATCCCAGCAGTCAAGTAACTTCAACGTTTAAAAAATTATGTTACACTTAAATGATTAGGGTTTGTATAGAAGCATAAAAAAATATTTTGCCATCAGCCAGACATGGAACATTCTTGTAGTAGATTTGATTCTGAACTCTAACCAGAAAACATTACAACAATATATTGAACTGAGTGGTGTAATCATTTTGATAGATAGCTTTTAAACTAGGATCCATTTAATTGGTTATTAATCAGGCTATGTCTAGACTGATAATGTGAAAGATTCTCCAAATATTTCATATTGATGCTGAGTGTTCCTGAAGTGCTTTTAGATCATGGAGAATGGAGAGGGGGGATTATGTCTGGACAGGTTACTTAAAAAGTAGCTGCCTATTCATCAACTAGATTTAAATCTTGCAATTCTGTACAATGCTTTTCCCATTTGACTATAACAATGTGAAGTGGTTGACTAATTCTCTTGCACACACTGACTTTTAAAAAGGAAAAGGGTGGGAAATGGAAGGTAAAAGATTCACATTACATGGTATCTCACACTGATGGAATAGATAGGAGAGACAGCCATATGTAAGATGAAACACTGGATTTTCAGCACACAAAAGCAAGAGGACATTCTATACTGTTTGTTCTCTCTTTGTGTGCAGTTCATTTACAGGGCTGGTCTTGCTTGGGGTAGAAAAAGGCTTTATTTGTGTTTCATGGCTGGGAGATTCTATTTCAAAGTATGGAACTTGCCTGTTAATGTTGAAAGGTAATGTTAATGTTTCCTGTGTGCCAGGCAGCATTGTGTTATGCACAGTCAAACTCTGGACCTGAATGGTTTCCTGAGAGCCAAAACAAGGGGCAAATGATAAATTATAGAGAGGTGACATGCACATAATATAGGACAGGATGCAGAGGTGAAATTGACTGATTTGGAATTCTGGATAATGAGTTTGATCAGATCCAAGCTGTAGCTCAGGAGGGAGCACATGTTTTGCATGCAGGAGATTTCTGGTTTACTCTCAGCATATCTAGTTACAGTAAACAATACTGAAGCTGGTGGGCGAGTATACTAATGTAGCATAAGGCAATTTTCTATGAAGTACTTGTACTCAGATATTATAACTAATCGGCCTCTTAACTGAACACTTAGGTGCTAGATGGTGGTTTTTGCTGTTATGTGGAATAGAATAGAATAGAATTCTTTATTGGCTAAGTGTGATTGGACACACAAGGAATTTCTCTTGGTGCATAAGCTCTCGGAGTACATAAAAGAAAGATACATTTGTCAAGAATCATAAGGTACAACACTTAATGATAGTCATAGGGAAACAATCAATATAAATCTTAAGGATACCAGCAACAA